AGTGCTTACCACTGAGCCACCGTGCCGCAAAATGAAAATTCAAAATTATCAATCATGTACAAAGGAATAAAATATGAAAGGAAAAACAAGCTCAAATATCTATTCCCGAGTCCTTTTCTAAAATGTGACGTTTCAGTTTCCCCTTTAACAAAGACTCTATCCTGATAGAAAAGTGTAGACTACTCCAGAGTCGACAATAGGGTTGCAACGATTAGAGATTTTGGTTGTACGATTACAGTCTGAGGAATAATCACAGTATCACGGTTATCACAATTATTAAGCATTCATTCATTTCAAAATACTACTAGTTTAGAAAATCATGTGAAAACTTATATTTTAAAGAGATATTTATCACTGCTCAGTTACTAATTAATTAAGTATTAAGTATTAATTAGTATTAATTTTACACTGAAAATAAATGAGAGAACAAAAATGAATGAATGAATGAATAAATAAATAAACAAACAAACAAATAAATAAATAAATAAATAAATAAATAAATAAATAAATAAATAAATAAATAAATAAATAAATAATAAATAAAATGGTTAATGTAAATGTATGCATCATATTAGTTGCGTTTTTTCATTTTAAATAGAACAAATATAGTCAAAGACTGCTGAACCTCTGTCTGAAAGGCACTAATATGCACGCAAACTACGTGCCTCCATTGGAAATAACAAACTTGTGCGCGTAAAAGATCCCCAGTATAGTGATGGGGATGCTATACTGCTCAGTGAGCGCCGTCTTTAGTATGAGATGTTAAACCAAGGTCCTGACTCTCTGTGGTCGTTAAAAATCCCAGGATGTTCTTCAAAAAAAGGTAGGGGTTTCACCCCGGCTAGTTGGCTTCATCTTTCTGTCTCCTCTCCACCAATCAGACACTGGTGGTGGATGAGGAGATTCCCCCCAGATTGTGTATAGCACTTTGAGTGCCCAGAAAAGCGCTATATAAACGTAAGGAATTATTATTATTGATTAAAAGATGGGATATGTGAATGGCCCTTAGTTAAAAACACTACTGCCAATTTAGTTACCTATGATTCACCTATACCCCATGTCTCTTGAAATGAGTACTTTTTTATTTTGTACATTTTTGAGGCCGTATTTCTTTACTTTTACTTTAGTACAAACGTGTAGTCAGTAGGGGTGTCAAAATTAATTATTTTTTTGATGGACCGCGATGCAGACGTGGGCAATTCGGTATCGGTTCAGTAATAATCATAACCGGTTATTAAGTACTGACGTCATTTATCTCCTATGCGCTGAGCAGCGCTAGTCCATGAAGATATAAATGAACTGAGTTGGTTTAAAAAGCCTTTGACGTTGTCTTGTGATCTCAACTGAAAGAAGCATGATTTAACTACCTGCTTATCAAATACCAGAGTCAGAGGTTTTAACTACAAAAGACGAACCCCCTCATTTGCGCTCAGTGGTGCCGTGCTATGACTAAAAGCGCCTTTACAGGAGGATGTTGAATTCCAGTGAGCTGTAACCATGCACTAAAGCAAGCAGCCGCATCGGCTTTGTCCAAAAACACCATTTGCACTGAGATTTATCACCATGTAGTATCAGCACCTCCATATTCCTCGTGTTTGAACATGAATCCTGCTGCAGTGTAGGCAGTGCTCACATAATAATGCATATCACCTCGATCTCTCTCTCTCTCTCTGTGTGTGTGTGCTGTAATCTAGCACAGGTCACAGGGCCAGGCATGGAAAGATCACTCTATCAGAGCTGCAGGCGCAGGTAATCTGCTCAAATGTGCCCTGAAATGAACTCGAATCTTTAAACACAAACACACATGCACACACGAGCCCAGCTTTGAGCAGAGGAACCACAGCGAGGCTTACAGAGAACAGAAGAAGAAGTTATCGGAACACTGCACATGTTCCAATCCTGTGGCACAGAGAGTGTGTAAATGTGTGTGCGTTTGTGAGTGAGTGTGTGTCTGTGCAATTCTTCCCCTCACAATCCTGTGAGATGGAGGACTGATAAGCTTCATAACATCAGCAGAATAACACACAACCGAGAGCAAAACGCCTGGTCTGGCTGGAGTTTCAAAAGTTTCCCTCAGTCAGCATGTCCTGCGACTCCAGCAATTAGACTGATAACACTGCTGAGGATATTTAGAGGTTTTTGGGCACATTATATTTGAGCAATTTTGACCAAGAAGACAATAAATAAATAAATAAATAAATAAACAAACAAACAAACAAACAAACAAACAAACAAACAAACAAATAAATAAATAAA